CACAATCACAACTACAACCAAAAAATAGCCAGGCATTGTGGCAGGTGCCTGTAGTCTCAGCTTCTTGGGAGGGTGAGGCAAGAGATTTGCTTAAACCCAAGAGTTTGAGGTTGCTGTGAGCTGTGACACCATGGCACTCTACCAAGGGCAACATGGTGAGACTCTGTCTCAAATAAAATAAAATAAAATGTCATCTACTGAGAGCTCAATCAATTTCATCTGTAGTTCTTTAGCCACTTTAGTGATAGCAGCTTGTAGGAGATCAAGCACTAAGCTTATAGAAGCAGCCACCGGTTCTTGAAGGAGGCGCTGGGAGCAAGACAATCTCCTAGCTAGCATAGAGATGTTTTGCAGCCTGGAGACAAGCTCTCAAGCAACTACATGCGTTAATGAGATAAGATCAGTTGCTGATTAGCAAGCAGGTGTTATACTTTGGACATTTGTGCTGCAACAGGGTGAGAGTCAAGCCCATGGGGAAAGAGCAAGTAGCGATCATTAAGCACGTAGCTCCAGTATGTGGCCCCCCACACCTGTTGTATAATTCTTCAATAAAAGCCCACGACAGAGGTTATTTGGAACTCTCCCTGCATCTATGGGAAGTCTACCACTTGCAAGCATGTACTTCTAATCCATGTCCTGGACGTTTTTATTCATGAGCAGTGACAGGGTGTCACAGCAGGCACTGACAAATGGCGGAGTTGGCAGGATCTGGACAGGGTCACGGACTGAAAGGGGGAACTACACTTGGAGTAAGAGAAACCTTCGGCAAAATGGCAAGAGGGAGTTTACGGGGAAGCAAAGGGTAATTCCCTGTTCATAGACAACAGAGGGGGACATCACTGAGAGTAAGTGGACCTCTGGCAAACAGCAGTATGTATGTGGAGTCATTTTGTTCATCTTGGTGATGTGTCTGTGTTTATTTGTCTGTCAAATTGTGAGACACCTTAATAACTATTATGGCAACCCAGATTAAATAGCTGGAAGACCAGGTGAACAGTCTCACAATTAAAACTACTAAAAGCCATAATTGTAGAAAGCTAGGCCATGTGAGAAGGGAGTGTTGGAGGAGGAATAGCAATCACAATGGCCATTTTTCATTCAGTAATCAAAAGAAACAAGGAGAATTAAACCCCCAGGTATATGCCCCAGTTGTGAAAAGAGGTTCCATTGGGCAAATGCATGCCACTTTCAATTCAATAAGAATGGAACACCTTTATAGCAGGGAAACTATCATCCAGGACAAACCCAGGGCCCACTGGTAAAAAACACGAGTATGGGTATTTAAACAACCTATTTCCTATGGAAAACCTGATATGTCTGAATGGGAACCTAATAAAGTGCTAACCTGGTAATGTGCTACATTAGGGTCGAGGTTTTGCTCATATCATTACAGAACAGCAAGAGAGGCGGTGGCTGCCTGCTCACAGAATCAAACCTCAACATGAGCACAAGACCTCACCAGCACTTTGACCCCTTGTATTGATACAAGGTTCCCTCATCCAAGCCTAAACAGGGAACTCCAATCTCCTGGGCCTGAGTAAATTTCAAGAAAAGAATACCCTAGCATTTTACTCCAAATTATCAACCCAGATTTTCATTTACTGTAAAACCTGGATTGACTTCCTCTGAGAAGCCTCTAACTGCCCCCCCCCCAATCATCCTCTAGTTTCAGCAGGAAGTAGTTCGGAGCAGTCAGTGTCTCTTTTCCCAGTGGCAGTTACAGCTTCTGTTCAGAGGAAGGATTGATAGAGGGTTCCACCCTTCAGGGAACTCCCCATTCTCTAAGCCCAGGTGAGCTCAGCATGTCCCCTCTGGGCTCTAACAAGATCATGAACAAAAGCAGTCAGCTTTTGAGATGGTTGACACATGAGGTAAATCCCTACCAGCAAACTTCTTGTTCCTGGCAGTAATTGCACTGATATGGGCAAAGGTGAGAGAATTTCATTTGTTAAACCTACATCCCTAATATTTCCTTGCCACTCCTCCAGACTTCAGCTTGGATATTGCTTGGCAGGGAGGAGGTATGCCTCCGTTTTGCCTGGAGGGAGCAACACATCATCATGTATGGAAGCAATCCCCAGTCCTCTCACCCTCAAGAGTGTAATCTGTCATAAGAATTGAAGTTCTAAACACTGTCAACAGTGTGGCCACTTCTTCTCATTTTTCTTCTGTGAGGGCCCTCACTGGTTTTGTTGGAGTAACTTTGTTAAGTATTCTGTGCTTTTTGTTCTTTTATTTAGCTGGGAAGAGAGCTACTCGATAAAAACAACAGATGAAACAGACAACTGCAGGTTTCTCCCTTACCCCGTACAAGAGTATCTTAAAAGAAAAAAGAGGGACATGTAGGAGGCCAAGCACCAGGCTTATAGAAGCAGCCACTGGTTCTAGAGGGAGGCGCTGGGAGCAAGACAGTCTCCTAGCTAACATAGAAATGTTTTGCAGCCTGGAGACAAGCCCTCAACCAACTGCATGTGTTAACAAGATAAGATCTGTTGGTCATTAGCAAGCAGGTATTATACTTTGGACATTTGTGGTGCAACAAGGTGGGAGTCTAGCCCATGGGGAAAGAGCAGTAACAGTCATTAAGCACATAGCTCCTGTACTTGGGCCCCACCACACCTGTGTGTAATGCCTCAATAAAAGGACACAACAGAGGTTATTTGGGGCTCTCTCTGCACCTATGGGAAGCCCACTTCCTGCAAGCATGTACTTCTAATCCATGTCCTGGCATTGACGTCAGCTAGGTGAGGCTGAAATGCTAATTGGAGTGTGATGTCATGACTTTCAAAGTCAGTGAATCTTTCACTGTATTCTTCAGTTAACAGGTCTATAACAGCTGCATATTCCTCAAATGATTCACATATGTCATCCTGCTAACTGTGGAAAATGTTCATTGGAAATTTCCATTTGAGGAAGTGTTTTGAAAAAAGATAGGTTTTTTTTTTTAAAATGCTTATATTTTTTGTCACATACATATATAGACTTAGTTTTACTTTGCAAAGAAATACTCAAGTAATTTTGATTGACATGATATCACACAGAAATGCTGCATTTCTATGGAGATCTTCTTTAAATAATTCATGTTGATAATTCTGGTTTTCATAAAATTTAACCATCTGTTCTTGCAGAAATAAAATTTTGGCTAACACCTGTCTCTGTATTAGCCAATGCATTTTTAAATGATCAGGCAAATTCACACTGAATACATCATGGTTCAACTTTAGCACATAAGGAAACTGAACGAAACTGATGATTCCATGTTGCACTTGGAGGAATAATAATACTATAACTTGTTTTAATGTATCACTTAAAACAGTAGCTTGAGCACAGAGAGTTTGCTAATGCAAAATACAATGAAAAGAAATGACAGCATCTAGATCTGTTAATATTTTTTTAATCTGTGCAATAAACCCTTCTTGTTTTCCTGTCATGAAAAGTGTACCATCTGTACAGACACTCACTAAATTTACCAAATTCAGTCCTACTTCATTACATTTATTTTTAAAGTCATTGAAGGGATCTATTCCATGTTTCTAAGAATGCCCAAAGAAAATAGCACTTCATAGCAAAGAAAATCTTCTGTTATGACCCAAATGAAATATAAAACCTGCACCAAGTGAGTAGTATCAGTTGATTCATCCAAAGTGATCAAATATATTAATATATATGTTCATTTTGAAATATTTGCATGAAGTTGGTTTGTTAAGTTGAAAGCTAATTCATGCTGTTGATCAGTTGTTCTCCTTGAAGGAGACAGTTATTTGCACTTTGAAACATTATTGTGGTCTAAGCATCCTTTAACTTTGATGATGCAGTTTTTCAAAATTTCTACATCACTGAATGGCCTCTCTTTCCCCCCGACTATATAAGCTACTTTATAAGTTGCTTCAGTGGCATTATTTCCAGGTCTTATTGCTACTTGAAAAAATTATCTTCACTTTTGCCTTTCATCTTTCAGTTTCTCCAGTACAACCTTTTGAGTCTCTCTCTCTAATTCAAAATATCTGTGGTCCTTATGAATGTTACAATGTTGATGAGCATTGAATTTTTTAAAGTTGATATTGAGTATCACAAAGCAAGCAAGTCATCTTTAGCAAAAACAAGATAATATTGCAATTCCCAATCTTTATTAAAAAATCTGTTTTCTTCCTCAGCATTCTCTTGGTCTTCTTTGACATCATGGTCTGTTAGGTAGACAGAATTAAAATATACTGTCAAGCTGTGCAACTATTCACTAATTCCACTTTAAACAGAAACACAGTGCACTACTGTCTAAAGCTGATAACAGACTGGTGTATTCAACCCTTATAAACTCTCACCAACCAGCCTTGTGGCACCAGTCAGATGGGGGAAGTTAGAATTAAATCTTGGGTGTAGTAGTCATCATTTTAGCCCTTATGACTTACTAATGTTCTAATTGTGCCAGTCAATCTGGGAGGTTTATTTTTTTTGTAACTTACTTTATTCTTTGGGATTTTAAGTACATTTATTTTAAAGTTAAAATAAAAATATAAAAGAACAAAATTATTAATAAAAATAAAAGGATTTGTTTTATAAAATTTGGATTCCGTTAAAAGCCTGCATAAAAGGACCTAGAAGGCCATGTGTGGCCTTAAGCCTGCAGGTTCCCCACTCCTGGGTTCAGCCAATACTATTTAACGGTTGGTTATTATCATGACAAAAACAAATCTCAATAAACTTAAATGATTGAAATCATACGAAGTTTATTTTCTGACCACAAAGAATAAAGCTGAAAATAGAAATATGTCCACATGAAACATCATGCTCCTTCCTAAACAACCAGTAGATCAACAAAGAAATCACAAGAAAAATTAAAAGTCACCACAGAAGAATGGAAATGAAAACACATCACACCAAAACTTGAGGGACAATGCTAAGAGGGAAATTTATAGCTGTAAACACTTACATTAAAAAAGAATGAAACACCAAATCACCTAATTTTGTACTGTAAGAAACTAGAAACAAAAGAGCAACTAAACCAGATGGAAGGAAATAATAAAGATTAGAGCAGAGATAGAAAATAAAGAAGAGAAAAACAATACAGTGAGGAAAAAAACCCAAAAATTATTTCTTTGAAAAGATCAACAAAATTGATAGAGCTTTACTAAAATTACAAAAATATAAATAAATGGGTGGCACCTGTGGCTCAGTGAGTAGGATGCTGGCCCCATATATGAAGGGTACGGGTTCAAACCTGGTCCCAGCCAAACTGCAACAAAAAAATAGCCAGGCATTGTGGAAGGTGCCTGTAGTCCCAGCTACTGGGGAGGCTGAGGCAAGAGAATCACCTAAGCCCAGGAGTTGGAGGTTGCTGTGAGCTGTGATGCCACAGCACTCTACCAAGGGTGACAAAGTGAGACTCTGTTTCTAAAAAGAAAAAAAATGTGTATATATATATATATATATACACATTATATATATATGTATATATATAATGAAAATAAATGAAAGTTGAGATGGAAAGCTTTTCCCCTGAGATTGGGAAAAAGGACATTACTACAGACCTTATAAAAATAACAAAGATTAAAAGAAAATTCTGTGAACAATTGTATGCTACAAATTAGATAATCTAGGTAAAAATGGAAAAATTCCTACAAACCCAAAAATTACCAAAATTGACTCAGAGGAGATAGAAAATATGAACTTACCTATAACAAGTAAAGAGGTTGAATTAGTAATAAAAAATTTCCCAACAAAGGAAAGTCCAACACCAGATGGATTCTCTGGTGAATTCCACTAACACTTAAAGAAGAACTAATGCAATGCACCTCAAACTCTTCCCGAGAATTCAAGTGAAGGGAACACTTCCCGACTCATTCTATAAGCCCAGCATCACTCCAATACCAAAGGCACATAAAGACATCACAAGGAAACATATAGAACAATATCTCTTATGAATATAGATACAAAATTCCTCAATTAAATACTAGCAAACACAACTCAACAACATAATAAAAGAATTACATATCATAACAAAGTGGGATTTATTCTTCTGCCTTGCAAAGAATGCAAGGGTGGTTCAATGTAAGATAGTCAACCAATGCAGTGCACCATGTTAATAGAATGGTGAGGAAAAGCCCACAAGAACATCTCGGTGGATGCAGAGAAAACATTTAACAAACTCTAACACTGTTTAATGATTATTTTTACCAAAAATCTAAAAATAGAAAGAAAGTTCCTCAACATGGTAAGTGGAATATATGAAAAAAAACAACATCATACTCAGTGGTAATAGATGGAAAGCTTTTCTCCTGAGATTGGGGAAACGATAGGCTGCCTGCTTTCATCATTGCTATTTAGCATTGAACTGAGAGTTCCATCTAGAGCAATTAAACAAAATGCTCAACATCACATGTCATTAGAGAATTGCAAATTAAAACACTACAACACTGGCACCACCAAATGTAGGTGAGGATGTAAAGTAATGGGAACTCTCCTTCATTGCTAGTGGGAATTTAAGACAGTACAGCCACTTGGGGAAACAGTTCGCTAGTTTCCAATAAAACCAAATGTGCACTTGCTTTCCACATGATCCTGTAATCATACTCCTTGAAGGACCAGAAAGCTACAGACTCTCCTTCCTTCACAGAGGCACCTTGAGTCAACAACAATGTACACACCTGCAAACAAGCATGGAGTTCTAGAGACTTGTTAAGAAGGAAAACCAAGGCCATTGTAAAACTATGAAGGGATCTGAGCCAATGGAATAGGAAAATTCTATGGCATTTGGGGTATCCACACATATCTCTCCTCATATGCAACATAGTGCCCAGCAACCAGGAAGAAATTCTCATATGGAAACTCTGCCTTGGAATGGAAATAAAGTGAATGCATCTAATTTTCTGGTTTGTCTGGGAACTACCCAGGGGACTGGATTCTGATTCAGAGCACTGACCAATGGCTGTAGACTGGAAAACAACAAAAGCAGAGGTTAGCATGTTACTGCTTCAGTTCTGCAGGCAAACACCAGGGTAACAAAAGCTCAGGAAAGGTTCACAGCTCTTAGAATCTCGGCCCTGGCTGGTTATGGTCCTCCCCAGCTTGAGGCCAGTACCCTAAGACTAACAGAGGGGGTTGTTTTTTTCAAATGCCCAAAGCTCAGCAAAATTTTACAAGGCATGCAAATAAAAAGAAAAACATGACAAAGTCACAAACTGATTCCAGAAATTGGCCCTAAAGAAATGCAGATTGATGAAATGTCTGACAAAGAATTTAAAATAACTGTCATAAGATGCTTAAATGAGGTAAAAGATAACAGGCAACTAAATAAAATCACAAAATCTATATATGAAGAAAGTCACAATCTCAACGAGATAGAAACTATAAGAAAAGAACAAAACAGAAAATCTGTAGTTAAAAAATACAATTAAAGTGAAAAAATTCATTAGGGAAGATCAATAGCAGAAGAAAAAATCAGCAAACTTGAAGACAAGTTGAACATATTAAGTCAGTGGGACACACACACACACAAAAAAGAAAGAAAAAGAAAAGAAGAAAAATCAGAGAGCCTAAGGACTTATGAGACACCATGGAGCTGACCAATGAATATAGGCATTATGGAATCCCAGAAAGAGACAGGAGATGGAAAGAGATAGAGAGATTATTTAAAGAAATGATGATGAAAACTTCCCAAACGTAAGGATAGAAATATATATACAGATTTAAGAAGCTGAAAAAAACTCAAACTGAGGTAACTTGAGAAAGAATTGCACTGAAACACTAAGACACATTATAATTAAACTGTCAAAAGTCGAAGACAAAGAAAGAATCTTAAAAGCAGCAAAAGAAAAGTGATGCTTCACGTATAAGAAAGCTTTCATAAGCTTATCAGTAGATTTCTCAACAGAAATTTTGCAGGCCAGAGGGAGTGAGATAATATATTCAAAGTGCTAGGGAGCAAAGGTCCTGTTAACCAAGAATATTTTATCTGACAAAAACAACTGTCCTTCAAAAATGAAGAAGAAATTAAAACTTTTCCAGAAAAACGTAAACTGCGGGAATTCATTAACACTAGGTCTGCTTTAAAAAAATGCTAAAGGGAGTCCTTTGAGTTGCAAAAAGGCAGGAGGAATCAGCACAAACCCATAGGAAAATGTAAGTTTTCCTGGTAGAAGTAAATAGAGTAACCTATACCACTATAACTTAGGTATATAGATTTTAAATGGAAAAAATTTAAAAAACTATAAATACATGTAACATGAATATAATATATAAATATATAATATGTAACATCAATAATATAAAGGGCACAGAGTTGTAAAGGAGTAGAGTTTTGTATACAAATGAAGTTTAGTTGTTTACAGTATAAAATAGAATAATATAACTTAAAGATATTTTATGCAGTTTCAGCGGTAATCACAAAGAAAATATCTATAGAACATACATAAAAGGAAATGAATTAAAATCACTACAGAAAACCAACAAAACAGAAAGAAAGTCACTAAGAGAGGAAAGGACAGACAAAAAAGACGTAAGACAGAGAAAACAAAATAACAACAGTAAGTCATTTCCTATGAATGGTTTATATAATGTAAATGAATTAACTATTCATTTAATCCAATAAATGGATTCAACATTTTCCACATATATACGTGTAACATGTGTGAACGTGTGTGTGAGAGAATGTGTGATCCAGACTGGAATGTCTGCATCCACATCCAGTCTGAGGAGCAAGAGGAACAGCCCCTGGCTGATAATTTAATCCTTTCTGGACTGCCCATTTCTAAGGCTTTAACAGCATTGCTGAGGGAGTAGTGTTCAGAGCAGGTTTGTCTTTGCTTTCTCACCCTGCTACATCTGAAGAGCAAGCAGAAAAAGAACAAAAGACTAAATACAACTCTGGATAATAGCGTGATTTACTGATTCCATGGAAGGGGGTGTGCTCTTTGCTAATTAAGCAGTTAGGATACATTTTCTTCCTTATTATGGCAAGAACTAATGTTTACCCTTAATAAGGACGTGTTTGTGTTTCATTCAACAGATTCCCAGATGGGTTAAGTCTTCAAACATGAAAACATTAATAAAATTAATAAGAAATAAGAATAGTAATTCAGGCTCGGCTCCTGTGGCTCAAGCGGCTAAGGCGCCAGCCACATACACCTAAGGTGGCAGGTTTGAATCCCCAGCCCGGGCCCACCAAACAACAATGATGGCTGCAACCAAAAATGGCCAGGCATTGTGGCGGGCGCCTGTAGTCCCAGCTACTTGGGAGGCTGAGGCAGGAGACTCGCTTGAGCCCAGGAGTTGGAGGTTGCTGTGAGCATGATGCCATGGCACTCTACCCAGGGGGATAGCTTGAGGCTCCGTTTAAAAAAAAAAAAAGAATAGTAATTCAGAAACCAGTTAGTAATTAGTAAGAAATAGAATAGTAATTCAGAAACCTTGGAGTAGATTGAGCGTCTTCCTTTGATATAATTTTTTTCTTTTTTTTAAATTTTAGATTAATGTGAGGGTACAGATGATTAAGTTACATTGTTTGCATTTGTTAGGTAAAGTCCAAATTGTAGTTGAGCCCTTCACCTAGGAGATGTCCACATACCCCTACACTGTGCCCATTTGGTGAGAGCTTGCCAATTCCCCTCTCTCCTCCCCCTACCCACTCCTTCCTTCCTCTCCCCCCACTTGAATTAAATTATGTTTTCCCCCCATGTGGGTGTGCAGTTCTTCATCCACTGGCTCCACATTAGTATTGAGTACATTGAATATTTGCTTTTCCATGTGAAGCCAGAAAACCAGCCATTATCACAAGGATGTTTATCTCAGAAGACTTTGGGGGAGGTCAAGTAAAATTTACCTTTATGTTGTTGAAGTATTGTTACCTTTTTAGAATAAAAACTACTTTTATGTCAAAAAAGAAAAAGAAACCTTGGAGTAGAAAGTCAGAAGACAAAAAAGAACATGACTAATTTCACCATGTAAAAATATTTAACTTTTATTTTTTGAGACAGAGTCTCCCTTTGTTATCCTCAGTAGAGAGCTGTTGCATCATA